CGTCCCCCTCTGTGCGCCAGTTGTCCTGCTCTGTCTCCCCTTGCACTGCCTCCTCCCAGATCCGTCCGAGTCCTCCTACTGTCTCTCGGGTCGGCATCGTCTCTTAATACCAAGCAATGCCTCCTCCTTCCTGCCGGGAGGGAGCTCACATGACCTCTTCTGAAACAAGCCTCCGGGCTAAGTCCAGGAGCTAAACACAGAGGCTCTGGAGTAAGACAAACCAGGTTCCGAAACCCGGGTCTCTCAGCCAAGTCTCTGTGCTCTTGGGCCAGTCACTTGGCTTCCCCAGGCTTTATCTCCACCTGAGGCTCAGACACGACTGCACTTGTGCGTTCAGGGTAAGGCACGCTGCCCAGAACGTTCGGGAACACCAAAAGGAATACTAAATAGAAAGAACTTCGTGTAGCACCTGGAACATGGTTGCCCTTTTAACAGTCGCTGTTAATCATAAATTCAAATTGTCTAGTGATTCTCATGCCTAAGTCATATGCATACACAGGGCGATTTCATGGGTAGGTACTGACCTTGACTTTGTCTGTTATTCTGATATGCTGTGGGAGGCAGGGCTGCTGGACAAATTCAATGCCAACAATGTCCCCGCCGCCTGAGGTTGGGGGGTGGGGTGGAATTCAGTAAGTCTGGGAAGGAAAAGGAGGCTTTTCTTTTCAGTCTGTTTCTTTCTATAGTTTGATTATTTTAACTTTATCAATACACTGATGTTTTAAGTGTTGGTGGGGTTTCTGGGCAGGGAGATTTGGACTTTTGTTGCTTTATTTGGTTTCCATTTTATATCACTAAATACAAAAAACAAAACAAAACAAAAAAAACCAACCACCTCAACTAATAATCCAAGAAACGCAGTATTTTAGAAGTCATTTGAGAGGCGCCCAGGTGGCTCAGTCAGTTAAGTGTCCGACTTCGGCTCAGGTCGTGATCTCACAGTTCGTGGGTTTGAGCCCCGCACGGGGCTCTGTGCTGACAGCTCGAGCCCGGAGCCTGCCTCAGATTCCGTGTCTCCCTCTCTCTGCCCCTCCTCACTGGCACTCCGTCTCTCTCAAAGATAAACATTTTAAAAAAGTCTTAAAAAGGAAGTGATTCGAGTCTGATTGTTTAGTCGGGATTTTAGGAAAGGGATGATCAGAACGCATTCGTTGGCAGAAAGGGGAAGGAGTGCAGGTTTTAAGGGCAAGAGGACCTTAAACGGCGGATTTGGACCCATTGTTAACAAATGACATAATCTCGTTACACCTTTGTTTCCTCATGTGTGTGAGGCAGCTAATAATTCCAACCACACGAGGGTATTTCCAGAACCTCGATCAGCTACTGGGCATGTAAAGGACCCAGTGCAAACTGTGGCAAACGACGGGCTCTCGAACAGCCCCTGTGATCATTACTATTATGTGCGTGTTGCTGTCCTCACTGCTGGGCTCTTAACAGGTTAGAATAAAGATGCTGCTTCAAATTGACAATTAACTTGGGGTTGGTATTAGGATTAATAGTTAGAGTCTGTAATAGATTAGGGTTAGGATTGAAATTAGAACTCAATTAAGGTTAGAATGAAAACGTACACCGAGGTTATTATTGAGGATGGGGTTAATTAAAACTGGATAATGGAAGCAGAAAACAGTATGAGGAGCACTGGTTTAGCTGGGTGGAAAATTAAGAGGAAAAGCAACGCGGAAACCCACGTGGAGTTTACGGAAAAAGGAAAAGTCATAGCGACAAGAAGGACTCGCAGAGCAGAACCCAGCCGGGTCTTCCGAGGGGCTTCCCACAGGTGCGGTCGCCCCCTCTTGGTGAGTACCTAGTATCCACCCCACTCGGCTGAGGCCCCCTCCCATCCCATAGCAGGAGCACGAGCAGCGAGCAGCGTGGGGAGAGGAATGTCTGGGGCCCACGCAGCTGCGGCCAGCCCAGCACGGGTCCAGACTCACATTCCACACCCCCAGCTCCCCAGGCCGTTGCTGAGTGGACGGGGGCATCGAGGAGCCAGAACCCGCCTTCGCTCCACCCTCCTTCCCTGCTTCCCCTCCGGCGTCCGCTGTAGCGACCAGCTCTTCAGTCCCACAGACAACCCACTCCACACTTTGCGCAAGTCTCTTGGAAGTGCACGTTGTGTGTCACCGCGTCTCCGAGTGGAGAGTCACCGTACGATCACAGTCCAGCATGGATACTTCGACTTTACCTCTTTACGTGACGGGGATCGTCCTGGTAGGTCAGTCTTGCTCTGTGAAACTCTGCTCCTAGTGAAGGGGAGCCTGTGAGCTGCGGGGCTGTGCATTGCACAAAGGACATTAAAATGATTGCAGGCAAGGTGTGGTTCCCAACGGAGACATCCACATCTGCGGGAGAAACTACCCTTCCGCTCAGACGCACGGGACTGAACAACTCGTCAATTCGTATACGGCTCGGAAGGACTGACCATGAGTCTCCTCGTTCCTCCGGCCCCCGAGGGCCCTGTCTGCCTCCTCGGTCCAACATGGGTAGCCCCTTTTCTGCACAGCTGTGTGAATGCAGGAAGTCCCTAAACTTCTCCGGGCCTTCCCTTCCTCATCCGTTCACCAAGGGGCATGAAGCAGGTAATCTGGAAGGTCGCTTACAACTCTCACACTCTTGCATTCTACGATTCCAAAAGCCAATGACTGCTTCGTATTCCCAGGGCCTAAAGTGCTGCCACACTGATACCGATGATGCAGAAAAGGGGAAAGGAGCCAGTAGGAAGAGAGGGTTGCATTCTCATTCGCTACCTCTTCATACCGGCTCCAAAACGGCTCTCTTCCTACCCTTGGTCTTTATCCCACGCGGTTACGGTAGAGGGTGGGGCCAGACCAACAGCCGTTAGAGAATTAAGTGAGGACAGGCAGACGGGGATCGCGGTGGAGAACCAGATGGAAAAGACGATTAGTTGGAGGCGCTTGGGAACTAATCCCCTGTCCTGCCGTCCCCATCCGGCGCCCGTCCCCTGTCACTCCTGCGACACTAACCTGTCCTCTCTTAAGCCCAGCCAGATGATCTCTAAGGCTTCTCCTAGCCGCAAAGATAATACTCTTTAGCCATCAAGACCCTTTAACCAGGAGAGCCTGATCCTTCCCTCTGAAGCCCCATTCTCTCTGAAAACACAGCCACTCTTTCTTTCTCTCTGTACGACTCAACTCATGCCAACCTGGCCCCACCACCATCTGAAAGGCCAGGCTCCCTTCCTGGCCTCTCCTCGCTCTTGCATTCTGGTCTGCACAGGCTTCAACCGCACTCCTCTCTCCGTCGTCATCTCACAGAGGCTTTTAAGATGTCAGGGAGTCACTGAAATAGGAAAGCAAGCAAGTCAGACAGCCCGTGATAGCCCCAAACTTCTGCAAGTAAGTCTAACTAACTCAGGAAACACGCAAGAGGCAGGCACAGCTCTTCCCCCAGATCACAGAGAGATTCTAGAAACAGAAAAACAGTGGGACAGAGTTCTGACCACCTTGAAGGATCTTCCCGGAGAATATGCACTGGCCTCTCTATCATCGACTAACATTTATATGGAGCTTTACCAGTTACAAAGCACTTCCCACATCCTTGTCCTTGAATTACTAGGTGACAGACATCTACGTCCATCCCAGAGGGCTGGGAGTTAGAAGACATGCACTCATGGTCTCACGGGACCCGAAGACACTTCAGAGATCCTATCGCCCCTTAACCTAACCACCACTGTGTTTTCTACTGATGACTGGCAGTATGGCCTTGGGAGGGTAGTTAATCCACCTTGGACCTCAGCTGCACCTGTACAAGAAGGGGTGGGACCAAATATTTTTACAGAACCCTAATATGTCTAAAACTCTTTGATTCAGAGAGTCTAAAATTTAGGAATGCCCCCAAAGCTAAGGCTGAGCAACGCCGACTTCGAGGGGCCTCTGTCTGAGATGCACCAAGACCCTTCCAGAGACACTCAGGTCACAAAGAATACGGTCAACCCCAGGGACGTGGGACTCTCTTCATCAAGCATGAACCCCCTGCCTCTCTCACCCATTCTATATATTGGCCTCAGGGACAAGAGCCACACTAGCCCCTGAGGCATTGCTCCTGAAGGGGGCATCTTCCTGAGGGTCTGCAGATCAGACCATTCACCCAAGAACCTGACTGACTAAAACCTGAGAAGGAAGGGCACGGTCCTCTGAAAGATTAAGAAAAAAGAACAAATACTGGGAGGAAGGGGAGGACAGAGAGGATGAAGCGGGGCGGGGAGGGGGGACGCTCCGAGTTGCTTTGTAGATGGCTCGGTTGGGCAAGAGTCTGAAGTGAAATCAGGTGTCAGAGGGGGAGTCACTTTCTGGACAGGGGATTGAGGGACTGGTGGCCTGGAGGGCTGCAGGAAGAAGCCTTTCAAGGGAAATTGCCCGGGGCCGCACACTGTTGCTGGACAGGGGACTAGGGGCTCTCGGGTCAGAGGAACTGGGGACGTGTGTGTGTGTGTGTGTGTGTGTGTGTGTGTGTGTGTGTGTTTGGGAGAAAGGTCAGGGTAACTGGCTACCCAAAGGGAGATGTCGCTGGGCACGCTGTTGATAGGGGATCCCCGGTCGCCAAAAGCGGGAGGGCGGGGCGGGAGGATCTCGGGCCGGTGGGCACGCCCTTGCCCGGGCCTGCAGTGGCCGCTCTCGCCAGCTGGCCCAAGGCCCTGCCCGGCTCCCCTCCCTCCGCCCCAAGCCTAAGAGGGGCGCGCGCAGGGTCCCACTGCTGAGCCAGCTCCCTCCCCGGGCTCCCCACCCGCGCCCGGCTGGCAGAGCTCCCGGGGGAGAAGGTGGAAGGCACCACGAGGGCGCGGAGGGGGTGCGGGAGGCGGGGGGAGTGGGGAATGCGGCAGCTTGGCCCCCCCGCGACCGGCCCAGCCCCCCGCCGCCCCCCCTCCACCTCCAGCCGAATGGTTCGCTCCGAGCGCCCTATTTAATCCCCGCGACTGCAGCAGCGCCCGGCTCCCTCCCGGTCCCCGCCTCGGCCCCGGGCTCCGAAGCGGCTCGGGGGCGCCCGGTCGGCCAGCGTCGTCGCCCACCGCCTGCCCAGCCCCCCCCCCCGCCCCCGGGGACCCAGGCTCGCCAGCGCGCGCAGCGGGGAGCCGGCCGGGACGCGCCATGGGGGGCCCCTCCGCCCTGCCCCTGCTACTGCTCCTCGCCAGCTGCGGGGCGCCCGGCGGGGCCAACCTCTCCCAGGACGGTGAGTTGGGGGTGGGGGCGCCGGGCGGGGGCTCCGATCGCGGCGGGGGCGGGGGCGGGGGCGGGGGGCAGCCTGTGGGCTTTGTCTGGAAGCGGGGGGTTCGGGTCGCCGCCGCCGCCGCCACCGCCGTTGTAGCCGGGCGGGTCCGTCCGGGCATCCGTGCCGCTGTGCACCTGCCGTCCGCCTCGCGATGTGCGTGTGCACCGGGCCCGGGCGGCTCGCGGCCGCCCCGGGTCTGGCCGTGCCGCTGCCCGTGTGCGTGTGTCTGGGTGTGCGCGTCTGTGTTGGTGTCTGCCTGTGCGTTTGTGTGTCAGTATCTGTGTGTATGTCTGTGTCAGTGTGTGTTGGGGGCGGAGTGAGATCTGTCGCCGTTTCGGTCCGGGCGTGTGTCGGGGTTTGTGTATGTCTGGAGGGGCTGGGGAGCCGGTGCAGCCCCCCCCCCCCAACTGCTGTATGCAAACATCGCTGCCACCCCCCGCCCGCCCCCACCCGCGGCGCAGCTCCAAGTGGGCAGGGAAGGGTCCTGGGTGAGGCTGCCGAGGGGGGCGTGGGCCAGGGGGGGGGGGGGGGGGTGCCAGGATGGCAGTGTCCCTAGCGGTGGCAGCAGCTGGGAAAAGAAGCCCAGACAGGAGCGGAGGAGGTGGGGGAAGGTTGGGCAAAAGGAAGCATCAAGATATTTGGGAAGGAGGATGCCCAGAAAACCCAAGGCTGTCCTGGGCTAAGCACGGATCTTCCCAGATTTGGGGTGGGGTAGCTCGCCCGGCCCACTTTGCCCCAGGTGGGAACTCCAGCCTGCTCGGGTTTGTAAGGGTAAGAGACAAGGGAGAGAGTGGGGGGAGCAGGGAGGCGGGGCCAGGGTGAGGGGACTTGGGGAAGAGCCCCTCCCGCCCAGGACCCGGCTATGTAGGTCAGCGCTGTGGGGGCCCCCTCAGCTTTCTTAAAGGCAGCTGACGGTTCATGGGGTGGCAGGGGACAGTTTGTGGGGAGCCCAGGAAGGGAGCCACGGCTCACAGCCTCAGGTCCCCGGAGGTGGGAGGGCAGGCAGTGGAGGGACTAACGGAATGCATCCTCAGACCAGTCAGAGGAGGGCTGGGCTGCGGTAGGGGGGAGAGGGGACGGGACCTCTGCGGAGCACAGGGATGTGGGGAGAGTGAGGGGGAGGGTGGTGGCTATGCCCGGCCAGATGCCAACGAAAAACAGAGAGAACCGCAGGGGAGGAGAAAGGGGAGGCGGCTCCTGGGCTGTGGACCCAGTGGCCAGCAGGGATGGGCACAGGGCCAGGGCGGGGCGGGGGTGGAGAGGGGAGGGGTTGCAGCTGGGGAGGATGATGTAAAGAATTTCATCTGAAGAAAACAGGCGAGCAGCCTGGGTGCTGGAGGAATCACTCCGTCTCCCCTGACCTCCGCTCTCAGGCCTGTCTGGGTCATGATAAAGGAGCTTCGGCCGGCCAGCGTGAGCACCCTGGGGGTCCATTCCCTAGGGCTGGCTGACTCCTTCCACCAGATACCCATCAACACCCTGAAGGGAGTCACCACTGAGACAGCAGCCCCTCCCCTGGGCAGAATCCCCCTTCCCCAGAGGACCACACTGAGGACCCTACTGGCTGAGGAGGTGAGGGGGGGGGGGTGGTCCCAAGGGCCAGCCGGGTGCACGGCGGCAAGGACAGGCTGCCGGGTGTATGTGCCCCAAGAAGGATCCTCTTCTAGGCCTTGACTTCCAGCTACAGCCCCCGCCTTTTCATCCCGCTAGCTGCGTTCACCATAGACAGTGTGACCCAAACTGCACCTGCTGGGCAGTGGGGACTGACGGCCCCAGGCTGGGACCTAAACAGAAAGGAGTCACCCCAGAAAGCTGGGAGCACTCCAGCTCTAGGATGTAAACACTGGAGAACAGAGTAAATCTATATCCTAGCCAAGTCTCTCTTCACCAACCACACGATTTCGTCTTGGCCCTCGATTTGGGGGCCCAGCCCTCACCCAGATGTAAGGTTGAGAGGAAGAGAAATCCTCTGTCCTCGTATTTATAAACATTTCCTAGCAGTGCTTGAGGGGGAAGAGGGGAAGGCACTAACTTTAGAATGGAGAATTTCCAGAGGAGAGGTTGGGAAGTCAGGGATGGGTGGGGAGGGAGGTCTGTTCCCAAGGAACAGTCAAATCGAGCCTCATTTTCCTCGCAGAGCATTATCTGTCTCGATAATGGACATCCGTTTGGTGTGCAACGTCTCAGGACTTACTGATGTGGAAGACACACAGCCACACACGATCTTTAAATGAATTCCACCTCTTAGTTTCCAGACCTAAGAAGGGCCTAAGAAGCTCTGATGTGGGAGGTGGGAGCACAGATTTGATGCCCATGGATGGTGGTCTGGATGGCCATTCTGACCAGGGTCATGCCAAAGATGTGCCCAGTGCCCCTGATGTGGCCTGGGTCCCCTGGCAGGGAGCCAGGCAGTACATAGCTTCCCGGATAATGTTTGCCCCGAACAAGGAGATGCGGTGTGAAAGTTTAAGGACAAGATACCCTAATACACTAATGTCTGAGTAGTCAAGGGTGTGTGTGGAGTGGCTCTTTCCATGCAGAAAGAAAACAGACCTCGTGTGCGGCTGGGGTATATAGCTCCCTAGGGTACGGCATCAGGTTTTTAGGGTTCCTAAAGCTGAACAGGGACTGAGAGGCTACGGAAGGGCAGCAGACGATCTCTGAACCTGACCGTGCGTGCTGTGGCTAGAGGCCCAGGGCCACTTTGGACATTCGGTTTCCCACCTGCTCCTTCTTTCTCACATTCCTCCACTAGCACTGGTAGAGTGCTGGCAATTCCAGGTTTGCTGGATGCGACACCTGTGAACTTCATGTGTCCTGTGCTGAGCTCGGGTAAGCTCAACGTTCACCACTGTGCACAGCCTTCCTTGGGTTCTTCCTTGTCAACTTACTTCCAGCACCCTGTGAGTTGCCCTAGCATAGAGCGGATGGGTGGACAGCCTGCTTTGCTTCAGCTCATAGCAATTCAACCTTGTCCCGCACTGCCCCATACATGAATGTCTTTCCCTTCCCAATGACCTTCCGTCCACTGCCATCCATTCTTCGGCCCCCTGGCCAGGTGCCCAGTGGAGAGCTTGTGCCCAATGTGCCAAGAAGTCCAGCAGGCACTCACTCTAGAGCTGCCCACGGGTCTGCCTGGCAGGCCTCTACCGTCCTGCTGCTTCCTTCTTGCAGCTGTAACTGTTCTGTTCCCATGCTCTTCCTGGTTGCAACTCCAGCCCTCGGGAAGGACAGATGTGCTCTTCCTGGCACAGAGAAGTTGAGGCCTTCAGAGAGACCCCGGTACAGCAGAACTTAGCTAACTCCACGCAGAACCAGTCTGTCTGACCAGGGCCCCAAGCTGTGGCTCACTCACTGGCTACCCAGAGCCACACCCAGAACTCTACCCTCCCTGAGCCTGAGCTCTCTCTGGGGCCAAGCAGCACTGCTGTTTTCCGGGGTTCCTTCCAGGACAGTGGTTTTCTCACTTTTATTTTTAAAGATGTGACATTCCTTCATCACGTAAGTAAAACAGACCAAAGGAGAATTACTCTTGCTGAAAGACAGACCAGTAGCCCTTTCACCCTTCTCCCTGCCCCCCACCAACACTGCCTAAAATCCCTATGCCCTGGGGCTCTGCCACACCCAGCCTGGAGTCCTCCGCTCTAACCTGACAGCAAGGGAGCCAGCTCGCTGGCCTCAGGCTCTCTCTCTCTCTCTCTCTCTCCTTCCTCTCCCAACTGAGCAAGACCGGAGACCCAAGTCTAATTTCAAGAGTGCCTTGTTGGAGATATTCCCTGTTCACTTGGAGAGTGACTCACAGTTCTGCAGCCATAAAATTTCACAGATGGCATCTTTTTGGTGTTCTGGTCACTTTGAAACAGCAGACTGGGTAGCTGTGTGATTGCTCTGTAAATCCCTAGATTCGATTTGGGGACTCCTTGCTCATACAACTTGCTTGTAGTCCACATGATATGCAGAACAGGACCAAAGGCTGCTTGTCCTTCCTTAAGTCATATGCTAGGAATAATATCTTCATAGTCATCACCAGAGAGCCCTGGGGGGCTGTGAGTAGTCACATTCTTTGTTGTTTCCTGCTCCAGTAGGCTGCACACTGGCTCTACAATCTCTGTGTTGTCATCTGCTTCTGAGTAACAGAATGTCACCCAAGGACAGTAACCTGGGTTCCAGATTCTCCAGGAAAGTAACTGGTGGCCTGGACTACCTCCTTACTGACTACTGAGTGAAAAATCCCCAGGGCGTTAGAAAGTTTGGGTAATCGTATCTTCACCTTCCATCCCTCATGTTAAAATTTAGCATTTCCTGATTCACCATTGGCTATAGGCCCATATACTGGAACATTTTGTTTCCTGGATGAAGTCATGTCCTAAAGGTCTATCCATAAACTCTGACAATAGCAATCCCCATGGGAATGCTTATGAGCGATCAAGAGAAACAGACCATCAGAAAAAGAGCCTGGAGAGGCAAGCCATCAGAGAAAGATTTGGGTCTCTAAAAACTCCATCAAATTAAGAATAAACACTCCATATGTAACTGTAAAGCAAAAAAAGAATAAATCTCAGAGCCAAAGGCCAGCCTCCTCCTCTAGGATCAGCAGTAGTGATGAGTCTTTACAAAGTCAGAACCAGCTGATGTTCAGGGTTCCTATAACCCGAGTAAAAACCCAACCCAATCCTGTTATAACTAGCCCTGAGAAACCAAGATTTCCAGAGTCTTGAACACATGAAACCGTTGAGATTTTTGCAAAATAGAGGCTTAGTAAAGCTACATATTCTTCATTGAAGGAACAAGTACTGAAGAGAGAACCATTTGCCCCTTTACCAAAATTCCTCTAAGTGTAAAGAGACTGACCAAATGTCCCAACTAATGTCCCAAAGACAAATGCCTTCTTTTTTTTTTTTTAATTTTTTTTTCAACGTTTATTTATTTATTTTTGGGACAGAGAGAGACAGAGCATGAAC